CATCCCTGGCAGTGTCCGACCTCATGGTGGGTTTTCTGACGGTTTTCCATGTCATCGCTTCAGCTTAAACCGCTGGCCCTTTGGAGATGTCGGGTGCCTCATACTAACCATTCTGACAACAGCAGCTTTGTTTCTCATGGTGTTTTCACTGATTGGTTTAAATGTTGAACGGTACATTACTGTCACTCAACCCTACAGGTTTCCAGTCTGATGTTCCCGACGTCGTGTTACCGCCTGCATCATTCTGGCATCAGTTGTAGCAGCATGTATACACATCGCAATACTGAACCTATTTAGAGTGTCTGTCAAGTATTTCGAAGGTCCAACAATACACTTTCAAGCTAACACTTCGGCAGAGTTCGACATTTTTGTACTTCTGTTGTTTGACGTGGTTTTCAGTTTTCATCAGAATGTGCATATACTGCCGCATCAGAAACGAATCAACTGTGATCCAAATGACAAAAGCAACATTCAAGACAACAAAGCCGTGAAGACGTTCATCATTGTGACTCTGACATTTGCAGTCTGTTTCAAACCATTGCTGATCATCAGAGTCATTGAATTCTATATGAATGTTGAAGTTGCTGAGTGGCTTCAGTTTGTTGTTTCCTGGCTCGTATCCAACAGTCCCTGCAATGTGTTCATCTGCTATCTTTTTAGTCGCTCATACCGTGAGAGAGTCCAGAAACTCATCAAAGTAAGATTTCCCTGCTGCAAAAGGTCAGTGGCACCTGTGGCTTTCCAAGCCTAGATACCACATTTATTGGGTGTCAATTGCCAACTCTTAATTTCTGAATCATTTCCTATATTTTGTGAGCTTGTCCACGACAGCTGGTGGATGACCAGATCCTACCAATCACTGGTTGTTCAAGTAAGAAGTAGTGAGTATATGAGAGTGTATGCTCACCATGTCCACAAGACAGCCCCGTGAATTTTACTTTTGCCCCCAGTTTTAACTGATTAACACAAAAGGCCTTTCCATACTACACAAAATCTTGAGGTGGTGACGCAGGATGAAAATTAACCACATTTCACACTTGAAATCCTCACAAGGCTTCAGTAATTAATACATTTGACTCACTATTGAGTTTTATTTACATTGTCATCTCAGTGGAGCTAAACTAACCCGAGTACTTTACTTTGTCGGCTGGTAAGAGAATTGTGTATGAGTGCGTGAGTAGCTTGTGTAAGCCTTGTAGCAGCTGGTTGATATTTTCATGCAAAGGTAAGCACTAACATGACTTTGTGATACCACAGGAAGTTCTACTGTTGTGAATCTGTAACGCACTTTGATCCGTGGAGAACAGTGTAAATTATGAGGTAAATTAAGTATTGTACGTAACAATTCTATCCTAATTAAAAGTTCAATTGTGAAAGTGTTGGTGTGTACCTATTACACGTAATCATCACAATAAGACAAAATCGTCAAACTTTCAAACACTAACTGTTGAATACCACTTGTGGAACATTAGATAGAACATGGGGTTTGGGCAAGCTTACATACTATTTCAATTATGTTGGTTAACCAATGACATAGTTATCTGTGATGTTATATCGGTAAGTACAAAGCCATTAGAAGCGGCCATTTATAATAAAGGTCAAAGCTGCGCAAATAGGGAGAAAAACAAATTCGGCCTCTTGTGATGTGGTTGATTTGCTTCCAGCCCTGCCAAATGCTAATGGACAGCAATTGAATTACCATCTGTATAATCATTAATAGTTAGACAGGACCGCAGGCAACATTTTCTAGAGCAGGTGGATGAAACTATTTACATCAATAAATCAGAAGTGGCAAAGGAACAGTATCATAATTAAATTTTTTCCCACGACAAACTCTTCTAATATGTAATTGGAAAAAGAATACTCGAGGTACTATAAACCTTGATTAGACACACACAAAATTAAACCACACGGAAAAACCAAAATGTACCTGCAAGTATGAATGGATTTGAACCAGGGACCACTGCATCCACACTCGCACGTACTAGGCACAGGACCGATAGAAATAACTTGCCTGGAACATAAATTTTGCCTCAGAGGGTACTGAAGCCATCTGCTTCCTTTAACCCTGTTGTGACAAGAGTTGACTGCAGATGGTAATCAGCTGTTTCAAGGAAAATGTGCCGAGAACAGGAAACAGTTGTGGTCCATTTTGTGCTGAGATTATGACGACTCTAGGGTAAGATATCCTCTGTAAAGGGGGGCTCCAATTTGCCTATCGTCAGCTTTATTTGTACAAATGGTCTTAAGTACCACTGCATACAAGAGTTGGCTCAGTAATGCAGTCCGAGATTGATTCAAGGCACGACACAGTTAAAAGTGCTTTTGAGGAGGGGAGCCTAATGCATCTATTTTGAGAGGAATTGACATGGAAAGTGTGTTTACTCTAAGCAAAATAGGCTATTTGCTCGAACCAAATGACCAGTTATTAATCAGCGTCTTGCGTCAGACATTTTCAAGAGAGGCTAGTGCACTGTATATTTGGATTCTGATCTAAAAAAACTAACTATGTCACATATACATGTAGTAGCTTCTAAAGCTAAAGGGTTATCCGTCATACTTCATCACTGGTTGCGATCAATCTGCCACAGGTTCACACGGACGCATGTTTGGAAATACATTCATAATGTCAAATAGTTTGAGTTGGAGATAAATGCCCTATTTGTGTGGTGCTACAAAACCGAGGGGAAACGAGAAACTGTGAAGTCGTGAAAGGTAGACGAGCACCGTCCAGTCAGAGGAAGAGCTACAATGAGGCTGATCTTCAGAGAACCACTTAAGTGTATGGCATCTATGGTGTCTACAAACTCTACATACTGGATTGAAGAGCCTATGTTCTATTTGGCCAC